CGCGAGTAGTCGTCAACAACGATCAGGAAGTACCTCTCCTGACCCTGTCCACGGACGCGGGCTGGGCCCCACACATCCATGTGGAGCGTCTGCAAGGGAGCAGTCGTCGGGGGAAAGGAGGAGGAGTGAGGAGCGGCGCGCTGCCGCCCCTCGACACAGGGAATGCAGTCAGGAGCAGGGGAGTCGGGAAGGGGAGGGAGCACCCTGGGAAGACCAGCAACAAGGTCCCGTTTGTGCATGGCCCGAAGGCGCTGCACAGACGGGTGACCAAGGCGGTGATGCCAGAGGACAGTCTCATGCGCAAGAGAGCGACATGAGCAGGGGGCGGACAGCTGACCTGACGCAGACGCAGACGCAGCTACCTGAGGGGACTCAGTGGTCAGTGTGTACAGGTCCGACCCCGGCTCCCGAGTGAAAGTAGCCAGGTGGCGGCCCGTCCGAGCACACGTGCAATGTGTCACACGCTCGTAGGCAGGGGTGAACTGGTGAACACCCCCGTCCTGCAGAGCACAGCCCGCCACCAAGTTCGTAGAGAACGAGGGGAGGTAGAGACCTGAGAGCGTGCCGGACGGAACCGCTGGACACGGAAGTGTAGTGGAGGAGGTCGCAATGACCGGACCCCCAGAGGGGTCAGCAAGAGAGACAGCAACCGGCCGAGCTAGTGGCTCAAGGACAGTGCGGTCACGAAAGAAAGAGCGAGAAGCACCTGAGTCCAGTGTGAAGGTGTGCAGTGCAGCAGTCGACTCAGTACCAGGGGGCACAGACGCACTAGCACCTAGGGCAGCTGCTGCAGCAGGACCTGTGGGAGCAGACACACTAGCACCTAGAGCAGCAGCTGGGCTGGCCTGAATGCCCGGGTCGGGCGGAACACGCAAGTACTGAGCACCCTCTCCACTAATAGACATTGCATACATGGCAGTGAGAATAGCATCAAAGTCTAGAGCCCAGATATCAACACCCCTCTTTTCCAGATCAGCCCAGCGCGGCAGCTCAGTGGCGTCAGGAAACTGGGTGCGCCACGCGTCGTTGAGGCGCGCGAAGCAGCGCTGCGTCTGGTGCGGCCTCCCACACGTCTGGCCAGTGCGGTCGCCTGTGCGAATAACATACGTGCAGGTAAAACCGCGCTGCGCATACCACTCACGGGCGGCCTGAAGCGTCGGGGAAGGCTGCTGACTCTGGCCTCCGCCCGTGCCTCCACGACCACCACCTCCTCCGCCTCCGCCCCGGCCACCTCCACCCCTGCCGCTGCCACGACCACCTCCGCCTCCGCCGCCGCCTCCGCCCCTGCCACCACTCCCACCGTTGCTGTCACCTCCCCCACTACCGCCACTAGCCTCCCCTGTCGCCCCTCCACCGCCACCACCTCCACCCCCGCCTCCTCCGCCGCCACCCCCACCCCTGCCCCCCTTGCTCCTGCGGCGCCCGCCCGAAGCAGACGCAGTCCCGACCTTCTCAGCACCAAGGAGGTCGACAGCAGCAGCAGAGGCGACAGAGGGGAGGAGGGGGGAAGGGGAACACCCCTCAAAGAAGGGGCCGCGAGGGTCGCCACGAGAGGTGCCTACAGCGACGATACTGGCCTCAGCTGCAAGCAGTTCCTTCTCGAGGAGGGCTACGGTGAGCTCGGTGGGGGAGCGAGAGAGGAAGTGGTCCCTGACTGCGCGGAGAGAGTCAGGGAGGCGCGTGACGATGTGGTAGAGAGTGATCCAGAGCGGGGGGGGGTTGCTAGCGAGGAACTCGTCAGGCATGGCAGCGCGAAAGCGGGCCTCACTAGTCTTAAGGTGGGTGATGAGGTCTGCGACAGTGTGAAAGGAGGCCAGGTCGGGGAACAGGTAGGGGAGAGTGAGGCGGCCTAGCGTGGCAGAAGCGGGTGAGGAGTAGCGGGCAACGACAGCGGTGTACAGTTCCTTAGCAGTCTTGCACTGGCCGAAGTGCTCGCGCTCATCTAGCGGCAGGGAGTTGCGTATGGCGAAGCGAGCGTGCGCGTCACGGGTCTGCCACTGTGAGCGCTCAGTGGGGGTAGCAGTAGTAAGAGGGGCAGTAGCGTGGCCGAGAGCATGGTCGTACAGAGAAATATCCTCCTTGGCCGTGAGCTGTAGGAACAGGTGTAGGTCATCGAGCCAGGTGTCGAACTTCACCGGACGGCCCTCGGCGTCGAAAGCTAGAACGGGAGGGCTAGCCATAGCGATAGTAGCAGTAGCAGCAGTAGTAAACAAAGTAGAGCCGCAGTAGCTGTAAAGACGCACTAGCAGGAGTCGCAGGGGCGCACGGGATGCGGTGGTAGGCCGGCAGTAGCGGCGTGCGGTGGCGGCTGCAGGTGCGGACAGTCAGTAGCGGCGGGCCGGCAGCGAGCGCGTGCGGTGGCGGCTGCGGGTGCGCACGGGCGGCAGCGGCGGGCCGGCAGGCGAGGGCGTGCGGCGGCAGCTGCGGGTGCTCACGGGCGGCAGCGGCGGGCCGGTAGCGGGTGCGTGCGGCGGCGGCTGCGGGTGCGTACGGGCGGCAGCGGCGGGCCGGCAGCGGGTGCGTGCGGCGGCGGCTGCGGGTGCGCACTAGCGGCAGCAGCGGGCCGGCAGTAGGCTGCTTGCGGGCCGCGCAAGCAGCGCGCGGGCCGGCAGCGGGTAGCGGGCGGTTCGCGGGCGGCGTGCAGGCCGCGCGGGCGGTTCGCGGGCGGTTCGCGGGCGGTTCGCGGGCGGCGCGCAGGCCGCGCGGGCGGTTCGCGGGCGGTTCGCGGGCGGTTCGCGGGCGGTTCGCGGGCGGCGCGCAGGCCGCGCGGGCGGTTCGCGGGCGGTTCGCGGGCGGTTCGCGGGCGGTGCGCGGGCGGTTCGCTAGAGGGCCAACGGGGCCGGTAGGTGCGATCGCAATCGACGGGGCCAGCGGGGCCGGGAAAAAAAAGGTAGCGCTCGCGAGGGCGCTACGAGGGAGACGCTAAGAACGCGCTCCGGTAAGTAGGTAGGTAGGTAGGTATCGTACGGTGGGCCCTGAGAACAGTCCTAGCGAAGGACCTGCTCTGAAACCATGTCAGAATAACTGAGCAGGAATGAAATGAACTAGCACAGAGTTTGGTACAAGTAGGAAACCCTAACTTTGTGTACCCCCTAAGGTGTAACCCACTACAGCCTAGACAATATAAACATGCAATGTTTGACAAAGGATTCACTCTAACGCGTCAAATGGTTCTCTGACACACAGGCACATTTGCTGCTGAGGGGGAGATTCTCTCCGCTCTGCCCTCCAGCAGGCCAACCCTTACGAATTTCAAGCACATGCTCCACTTCGAAGGCATGCAATTTTAGGAATGAAGTTTTACATGTTTGTTCCTCATCAGACATATGTTTCGTTTTCATCTGATTTTACAGACTTGGTAAAAAAATTCGTCTGAATTTCAAGACTAGCCATAAATTTTCGTCTGACGCTCAGACGAAGCAAAAAACCCCGTCTAAATTTCAGACATAGTTTTTTACTAGCATCGTCCCTGGTGAGCGTACCCATAACCCTTCAGGCCAAAGTATCAGAATCAACAAGAGTGATTGAACTAGGAAAGAGTTGGGTACAAGTAGGAAACCCTAAACTTACTGTACCCCATAGTAACTACCCCACTACAGCCTAAACAAACTGTAGCAGATATAACATTTGACACACCCCCATAGGCAAAGTGGGGGAGAACAAGGGGTCACAAGACCAGTCAAGAAAGGCAAAGCAAGCTCAGGGTGGATCACAACGTCACCACACACTCTGAGCACAAGCAAAGGGCCACTAGGCCAGTTCACATGCAGAGGCATATATGCAACACAAGCAGCACAGTGATCTATACCTAGCAAAGCAAGCATGCAGGTATATATATATAAAGATCACAGTACAGGCAGAGTCTACAACAAGTGAGGAAAAGTGGGCACAAGCCCTAGCAAAGTGCAGAAACGCTGATGATCACCAGACTGAAGCGCCTTGGTGAATATATCAGCAGTGTTGGCCTGAGTGGCCACGTAACGCAGACGAAGCTGACCACGCTGCTGCAACTCTCGAGCCAGAAAGTAACGTAGAGCGATGTGCTTCGTTCTGTGCTCCAGTCTGTGCTCCTCACACAAGGCAATGGCAGCCTTGTTGTCGACGTACAGCACTGGAGGAGAACGAGGCCGCTCTCCCAGGTCGGTCAGCAGGTAGGTGAGCCAGCGTAACTCCTGTGCAGCCATGGCTGTGGCGTAGATCTCAGCCTCACAACTGGAGCTGAGAACTAAAGACGAGCGTGTAGAACGCCACGAAACTGAGCCAGAGCCGAGGCTGAAGGTGTAACCCTGTGACGACCGCTGAGTAGCCTGGTCGTCAACCCAAGAAGCGTCTGAGTGCCCAGTGAGAACAACTGGGCTCCCTCCTCCAAGCACGAGCCCCATGCCCGATGTACTGCACAAGTAGCGCAATACCCTCTTTGCAGCATCCCAGTGCACCTTTCGGTGCCTGCCAGGAGCCACGTAGCGGGCCAGAAGGCCAAGAGGGTACGCTAGGTCAGGACGAGTGCAAGTCATCAGGTACATGAGGCAGCCAACTAGCTCTGGGTAAGGACCACTCGGCTCTACGGACTCATCCGAAGGCAGAGCTGAGAGCGAGTGACCTGTAGCCAGAGGAGTGGCCTGTGCTGAGGACCAGGTGAAGCCGAAGCGCTGAAGGACCTGCTACACCATGTGTGACTGAGTCAGTGTGATGGTGCGCCGTGCTCTGTCCCGGGTGATCTGCAAGCCAAGGTAGCTGCGCAGTTCACCCAGGTCTGTGCACGTGTGTCTCTTCTGCAGCTCCGACTTCACGTGGGCGAGAGCCTCAGTGTCAGCAGTGGCAAAGACCAAGTCGTCGACGTACACGAGGATGTAGAACGGCGGCAGCGAAGTGTCGGTGCGCAGAAACAGCGACGGGTCAGCAGTAGAAGGCGCGAACCCAAGTGCCGCAAGAGTAGTCCTCAGTGTGTCGTGCCACTCACGTGGCGCCTGGCGGAGACCGTAGACTGGCCGGCGGAGGCTCTACTGGGTACCAGGAGGAAACGACTCAGTGAAGCCAGGAGGGCGGCGCAGCCAGATCTCCTCGTGCAGACTGCCCTGCAAGAAAGCTGTGCTGAAGTCAAGAGAGTGAAGCTCGTATTCACGCTGAGCAGCTACGTGCAGTAGCACCCGAAGAGTGGTCATCTTCGGAGTGGGGGAGAAGGTCTGAAAGAAGTCTACTCCCTCTCGCTGACTGAAGCCTCGAGCAACGTAACGAGCCTTGAAGACAGGCGGAGAACCTGGCGGCCGCTTCACCCTGAAAATCCACATGCCACTGACGATGTTCGCCCCAGGAGGGGGGACCTCGTCGACGTAAGTGCCAGTGGACTTCCAGGATGCCATCTCTGCATCCATGGCTGTCTGCCACTGAGAGGAGTAGGGACCCGCGATCGCCTCAGCGTAAGAGCGCGGGGTAGGGATGTCTGGAGCATCCGGGTCTCCCTCAGGGGCAAGCAGCATGGACACGAGATGAGGCGCAGCGGCTGCAAGACACTCAAGATCCTCCTGCCTGTCCTCAAGGACGTCCGTGCCAGGAGCACACTCACCCCCGACGGACGGAGGACAGACAGACTCAGACTCAGCAACAAGACTCGCGGCGTAGTCTAGACGACAGCGAGCAGCAAAGTCGACAAGCTCAGCAACTAGGGCAGACGCAGCAGCAGTCTCAAAGGAAGGGTCAGTGACAACAGTGGCCAGGAGACGCGTGACAGTAGGACTGGCAGCACGAAGGGAGTCAGACTCTGGGTCAGCAAGAACAGGAAGAGAGGACGCAGGAGGAGACGGTAGAGGGACACGCTGTGGAGCAGTGGAAGGACGCAGAGTCATATAGTGTGTGCCAGGGACAGGTGGAGGACGCTCACGCGGAACACGGCGACCAGTGCGAGCAGCACGAACAGGTGACACTGGACGAGACACAGGCGACACAGGACGAGACTCAGGCTCACGATGCTCTGTAAGACCTCCTGTGGGACCAGTGTAGGGAGAGGGACCAGGAAGTGGCGAGGCAGGTGGTAGCTGCGACTGCGACTGGACAGGCGGAGGACAAGCTAAGGAGGGAGGAGGACTAGGAGGAGGCGACTGACCAAGAACCTGCTGAAGGAGCGGAACGAAGTACGGCCGCGGCCGTGAAGTGCCCCCAGAAGCAGCAGAGACAGCACCAGAACCTCCTGCCGAACCAGCACCAGCAGCACCTCCAGCAGCTCCAGAGCCTCCAGCAGCACCAGCAGCACCTCCAGCAGCTCCAGAGCCTCCAGCAGCACCAGCAGCACCTCCAGCACCTCCAGCAGCTCCAGTACCTCCAGCAGCACTAGCTGCACCTCCAGCAGCTCCAGGACCTCCAGCAGCACCAGCAGCACCTCCAGCAGCTCCAGCACCTCCAGTAGCACCAGCACCAGCAGTACCTCCAGCAGCTCCAGAGCCTCCAGCAGCACCAGCAGCACCTCCAGCAGCTCCAGCACCTCCAGCAGCACCAGCACCAGCAGCACCTCCAGCAGCTCCAGGACCTCCAGTAGCAGCAGGGCCTCCAGCTGGCGGTACCTCAACACCAGGAGCTCCACTCCGGAGGCTGCAGCGCCGAGCGTACCACTCACGTAGCCGCTGAGGGGAGGGAGGCTCCGGCTGCAACACTGCACCCGCAGGGCCACCAGCCCCAACTCCAGCAGACCCCCCAGCTCCAGTAGCCCCACGACGGAGGCTGTAACGCTGGGAGTACCACTCACGCAGCTGTTGTGAAGAGGGAGCGCCAACAGGCGCAGTACGGCCAGTCTCAGAACCCCCATCCTCAGCTCCTCGAGGCTCAGCACCCCCAGTCGCAGCACCCCCAGGCTCAGCACCCGCAGTCTCCGCACCCCCAGACTCAGCACCCCCAGTCTCAGCACCCCCAGGCTCAGCACCCCCAGGCTCAGTACCCCCAGACTCCGCACCCCCAGGCTCAGCACGCTCAGCACCTCGCGCAGGACCAGAGTCAACAGCTACCTCGACAGGCTCGACCGGGTCTACCTGGGAAACACCTGAGGGTTCAGCACCCTGGGGAGGGAGGGGGTCTACCGACGGGACACCTGGGGTGAGGAAGAGCGGCGGGGGGGGAAGCGGGGCAGTGCGGTAGGGGAAGAGACGGTAAAAGGGTACCGACTCGTCAAAGGTGACGTCCTGAGAGGCAAAGACACGGCGCAAGGTGGGGTGGTAAAACTGCCAGCCAGGCGCGTCAGGAACAAAGCCAAGGAAGACACGTGGAACGGCACGGGAGGAGAGCTTGTCCGCGGACGTATCGCGGACAAAGGCTCGACATCCCCAGACTCGGAACACCGACGCATCGCCAACCTCCCCCGTCCACCGCAGGGTAGGCGAGGTCTCCGGAACAGAGACACGGGGCCAAAGGTTGAGCTGATGCGCGGCGTACTGCACTGCAAACAACCACAGGAAATGGGGAGCAGCCGCATGGATCATGGAGGTACGAGCGACCTCCATGACGAGACCAATGCGGCGCTCAGCAACCCCATTCTGCTGCGGAGAGGCCGGGAGAGTGAACGTCTGGCGGATGCCGTGCTCCGCACAGTAGGCTGCCAAGAGGTCAGCAGAAAACTTGCCACCTCTGTCAGAGTGCAGACGTAGGACAGGAAGGTCCGACTGGAACCGGTCGCGGAGCTGGAGACGAGCAGCGCGGATCCAGGGGATCAAGACATCAGGGACCTCACCCTTGGTACGCAAGGGGAAGACCGTGGTGTAGCGCGTGTAGTCGTCGACGACCAGCAGAAAGTACCGCTCGTGGCCCTGTCCCCGGACGCGGGCGGGGCCCCACACGTCCAGGTGGAGAGTCTGCAGGGGAGCCTCTGTGGGAGGGAACGAGGAAGAGTGAGGAGCAGCGCGCTGCCGCCCCTCGACACAGGGAATACAGGGAGGAGCAGGTGAAGGTGGTAGGGGAGGGAGAACCCTGGGAAGACCAGAGACAAGGTACCTGGAGTGCATGCCGCGAAGGCGCTGCACTGACGGGTGACCAAGGCGGTGGTGCCAGAGGACAGTCCTGTGCGACAGGGAGCGACACGAGCAGGGGGCCGACAGCTGACCGGACGCAGACGCAGACGCAGCTACCTGAGGGGACTCAGTGGTCAGTGTGTACAAGTCCGACCCCGGCTGCCGAGTGAAGGTAGCCAGGTGACGACCCGTCTGGGCACACGTGCAGTGCGTCACACGCTCGTAGGCAGGGGTGAACTGGTGAACACCCCCGTCCTGGAGCGCGGAGCCCGCCACCAAGTTCGTAGAGAACGAGGGGAGGTAGAGGCCCGACAGTGTGCCAGACGGGACAGCAGGACAAGGGAGGGCAGTGGTGGAGGTCGCAAGGACCGGACCCCCTGAGGGGTCAGCCAGGGAGACAGCAACCGGTCTAGGAAGCTGCTCGAGGGCAGTGCGGTCGCGAAAGAAACAGCGGGAAGCACCTGAGTCCAGTGTGAAGGTGTGCAGTGCCGTAGTAGATGGAGAACCTGAAAGCGCAGAGTCACAAGCACCTGAAGCAGCAGACTCACGAGCGCCTAGAGCAGCAGCCTCACCAGCATCTGGAGCAGCAGACTGGATACCGGGGTCAGGCGGCCCACACAGGTGACAGGCTCCCTCGGCACTAGTAGACAATGCATACATTGCAGTGAGAATAGCATCATAGTCAAGAGCAAGGATATCTACCCTCTGCCTAAGCAGCTCCACCCAGTCGGGGAGCTCAGCGTCGTCGCCAAACTCTGTACGCCAAGCGTCGCTCAGACGGGCGAAGCAGCGAGACTCTGTGTGACCAGGCGTCCCGCAAGGCTGACCAGTCCGGACACCCGTGCGAATAACGTACAGGCAGCGAGCAGTACGCAGCGACCCTCTACTCTGAGCGTACCACTCACGAAGCTGCTGGGGCGAACGAGTCTCGCTCAGACGACGCTGCTGCGGCACCGAGCCACTACAAGAAACTCCCGGACTACGCACTCCAGGACGACTCCCACTACTGCCACCCCGACAACCCCAACAGGCGTACCACTCACGAAGCTGCTGGGGCGAACGAGTCTCGCTCAGACGACGCTGCTGCGGCACCGAGCCACTACAAGAAACTCCCGGACTACGCACTCCAGGACGACTCCCACTACTGCCACCCCGACAACCCCAATGGGCGTACCACTCACGAAGCTGCTGGGGCGTGAGGGACACACGCGGACGGCCCTGGGGCTGCATCTGGCCACGCCAGGAGCAGCAATAGAAGCAGTAGCAGCAGGACGGGTAGGGACGTGCTCACCAGTGGTGGGAAGGGCAGGCGCACGACGGAGGCGACTGCGGGGCCGCTACAGCGGCAGGGCGGGGCTAGGGGCGGCTGCTGCGGTGGCGCCTGCTCCAGGGGCGACCGTTCCAGGGGCCAGGGGCGGCTGCTGCAGTGGCGGGTGGCTCCAGGGGCCAGGGGCGGCTGCTGCAGTGGCAGCTGCTCCAGGGGCCAGGGGCGGCTGCTCCAGGGGCCAGGGGCGGCTGCTGCAGTGGCGGCTGCTCCAGGGGCCAGGGGCGGCTGCTGCAGTGGCGGCTGCTCCAGGGGCCAGGGGCGGCCGCTACAGGGACGGCTGCTCCAGGGACCAGGCGCAGGGTAGAGGCGACGTGGCGGGTAGGGCGGGCGCGGGGTACTGCAGGGCGACGCGGCGGGCAGGGGCGACGTCGCGCGGGTCCCGCAGGGGCGTCGCGACGAGCTGGGGCGACGCCCGGGTCCCGCTGGGGCGGCCCGACGCGTAGGAGCGCGCCTCGCGGGTCCCGCAGGGGCGTCGCAAAGAGGTAGAGGGCGACGCGCGGGGCCCGCAAGGGCGTCGCGAAGAGGCAGGGGGCGACGCGCGGGGCCCGCAAGGGCGTCGCGAAGAGGTAGGGGCGATGCGCGGGTCCCGGCGGGCTGCAGCCGCCGGAGTGCAGCAGCCGTGGCGCGCGGGGTACAGCCTGCGCGCGAGCGTCGGCCTACGGGCGGCGGCGGCCTACGGGCGACATACAGGCGCCCCACGGGCTGCATAAGGGCGGCCTACGGGCAGCGTACGGGCGGCAAGCAGCCTACGGGTGGCGGCCTACGTGCAGGCAGGTCGCGGGCGGCTAGAGGGGCCGCAAGAGGCCAGTACGAACTTCGTGGGCGGCTAGCGGGCTGCGCGCAGGCGTTGATAAGGCGGCGCGCTGGTGGCTAGCGGGCCACGCGCGCACGAGCAGAGGACGGCGCGCGGGCAGAACGAAGGGCGGGGCGCGCGAGGGCGCACGAGCAGAAAGAAGGCGCACGAGGGCGCACGAGCAGAGTAGGGCGCACGAGGGCGCACGTAGGGTAGGGCGCACGAGGGCGCTTCTAGCGGAATGGTGGGCCCGTAGTAGGAAGCGGTCCTAGGTGGCTAACCTAGGCTCGTGATACCATGTCAGAATCAACAAGAGTGATTGAACTAGGAAAGAGTTGGGTACAAGTAGGAAACCCTAAACTTACTGTACCCCATAGTAACTACCCCACTACAGCCTAAACAAACTGTAGCAGATATAACATTTGACACAACTGTGAAGATAAGCGATATAGTTAGGAGCCATAGCTAGGAGAACCCTAGCTAGGCAAGAGAAAGTTTAGGCAAAAGAGGAGGTTCACTAGCAGCAATGAGGATACATATAGCAAACCCTAGATGGGTTGTACTCGCTATAGAGCACCCCACTACAGGCTAGAGAATAATATTCTGACACACCCCCATAGCCAAAGTGGGGTGTAATCAGTACAATGAGCAAGCAGGTATAGAGCAGGAGTTCACAAAGGTAAGCAAAACTAGAGTCATTCACAAAGGGCAAGTGAGGAGGAGGAGGCGAGACTGTAGGAGGAGAGGAGATAAGAGGCGACGACTGAAGCTGCAGACACACGGGCAACAGGAGTCAAACTGGCACAGTGGCTACCGGAACAGCGCCCCGGAATACAGGAGTAACTGGCTCCGCGGCTAAGTGCGGCAGACGAGCAACGGACCCACGGGCGACTGGCGCAGCTGGCTACGACTGGGCTACCGGAACAGCGCCCCGGACTACAGGTGCTGCTGACGACAAGACGGCAGCCTCCGCTCAACCTCCCCCGACCGTCCCACCCCCCTCTCACACACCCCCTGCTGGAACCCTAGCTCCACTCCCACGTCACCCCCCTAGCACCACTCCTTCGGCTCCCACACACCCACCCCCCTGAGCGGCAGCTGCAGCAGCGGGAGACGGAGGAGGAGGAGGAGTAGGGGACGGGGCACACAACCGGCACCCCCACAACCGCCACCCCCACACTCCCCACCCCCAAACCCTAAAAGGGGTAGCACGGGGTAGGAGCGCGGGGGAAGGCGCGCGGGTCCAGGGGAGGGGCGCGCGGGTCCAGGGGAGGGGCGCGCGGATCCAGGGGAGGGGCGCGCGGGTCCAGGGGAGGGGCGCGCGGGTCCAGGGGGACGGGCGCGCGCGTCCCCGGGGGCGGCGCGCGGCTCCCCTGGGCGCCGCGTCGTTGAAACGGGGGCCGCGCGCGGCTCCCCAGGGCGTCGCGACGGGGCAGCGGGGGGCCGCGCGCGGCTCCCCAGGGCGCCGCGACGGGGAAACGAGGCCCGCGCGCGGCTCCCCAGGGCGCCGCGACGGGGCAGCGGGGGGCCGCGCGCGGCTCCCCAGGGCGCCGCGACGTGGCTGCGGGGTCGCGCGCGGCTCCCCAGGGCGCCGCGACGAGGCAGCGGGGCCGCGCATGGCCCCCCAGGGCTCCGCGACGAGCGGGGGGGGCCGCACACGGCTCCCCAGGGCGCCGCGACGGGGCAGCAGGCGTCGCGCGCGCTTCCCAGGGCGCCGCGACGGGGCAGCGGGGGCGACGGGGAGGTCTGCTGCAGGCGACGGGCGAGCTGCAGCAGGCGACGGGAGGGAACCGACGGGGGGAAACCGCCGCGCGCCCCGGGGCGCACGGCGGGCAGGAAACCGCCGCGCGCCCCGAGCGCGCGGCGGGAAGAAAAATAAGGCGTCGCGCGCCCCATGGCGCGCGACGGATATGAAAGCAGCGGAAGCATCGAGTGGGGCCCACAGGCCATGAGCGTAACCGCTCTGACACCATGTAAAGATAAGCGATATAGTTAGGAGCCATAGCTAGGAGAACCCTAGCTAGGCAAGAGAAAGTTTAGGCAAAAGAGGAGGTTCACTAGCAGCAATGAGGATACATATAGCAAACCCTAGATGGGTTGTACTCGCTATAGAGCACCCCACTACAGGCTAGAGAATAATATTCTGACAACAACGTGCCTGTAACCCTTCCTTAGGATCAATCGGGGATCACCAGTGGACCTCTGACAATGATAAGCCTTGCTAAGTGTTAAAGGAAAGACAATGAAGTCTTTGAGTGGTGACCTTGTTGAGAGTAATTGAAAGAGAACAATTGTGAGGCGCGTGGATCATGCTTTTAAAACTTAACGAAGTGCAGTGTGCAAGCTTTGAAACGTAGCGCACCTGCAATTTGGGACTTTCGGGTGCTGACACAAACCCCAAGGCGAAATACGGGGCTGGCGGGGTTTGGCGAAAAAAACGAAATGCCCGAAATCGGAATCACTCGCCAAAACCCAAACCAGAAAAAAAACCCTCGCGTCATCCTTTTAAAACTTGTGCAATTTGGGCTGCCTACAAAGAGATTAAATAGATACCTAGATAGTCATGTACGTTGAGGGGTACATTCCTTATTGCAACTGTATTGCATAACTACAGTAACTGTGACTATTGCCATTCTTCGACAGTTACTTGGTTGCATTGCGTAACCTCTGATGCGGTTGTCGGTTGGTCAACAGTCACGACTGTTGACTTTCGGTGACTGTTGACCTTCGGGTGTCTCTCAAGCTACCGAGTACTCTGTACGAGCATGTAGCGATACTGGTACAGCAACACTGCTTCGTTATGAGGCAGCTTGAAATCTGAAGTTTCTTGAATTCGGCCTTCCGATTGTTTAGCTCAACACTAGAGTGCTTACACAAACGGGGGTCTAATGCGGATTCATTACCAAAAAAAGGGGGGTTTATTTCCGTACAATTGTGGAAATAGCATTAGACCCGCCCCCATTTAAGAACCCGGGGGTCTACGGTATGATTATGGGAGGGCTACTAGTCGGGCATTTACGTACGGTATCCCCATTAGCCTATCCAGAACGTGTCTGTCTGTCCTTGTGACTGCCCCCCCTAACTATCTATTACTTGGCTCAAGAGCGAAGCAACATTCGCTCTCGCTCGGCCCGTCCTCTCAGAATCAGCATCCTCGCTACTGAATGTTCCATTCTTCCTATAAGCCAACGCCTCTGTAATCCCTGTTGGCCGCTTCTCAACCTCCCCAATGACTGCATTTTCTCGCCCCACATTACCCTCCTGCTGCTTCTCCTCTTCCTCCTCTTCCTCTTCCTCCCTCTCCTCTTCTTTAGCATGTTTCCAAGAGTAAAGATCGTGCGCTGCCTTATCCCCTCCTGCTTCACCCTCATACCCCGTGCTGCTGTATCGGGGTACACCCTCCCCCCCAGCATAATCAGGCGCATATAAGACTTTCACCCCACCCCCTGCTAACTCCCCATCTCCAGCATAATCAGGTGCATACGAAGCTCTATCCGCATCTGCTGCATAGTCAGGCGCATATCGTGGCCCACCCCCCCCTCCCGCCTCCCCAATATACTCCATCCTACCATACATAGGCATAGGCGCATCCCCCTCTCCTCCCGTCCCCCCATCGGCAAAGAACTCTGCTGCCCGTGCCAGAAAGTCATGCACCGATGCTGATGCTGCCCCTGGCCCTGCCCCACCAACACCATACGGGTCTGCATCACCCCTGCTAGCCCCATATGGGTCTGTGCTGCCTGTATGAGCCCCGTATGGGTCTGTGTCGCCCCCAGGAGCCCCATATGGGTGGGTGCCTGGCCCTGACCCAGCAGCACCATAGGGATCCAGGGCGCTGCCTCCCTCCTCATCGTCATCCTCCTCCTCCTCCTCGGTCATCCTGCTGCCCAAAACACCACCCAATCCGCCCTCCTTCCCTCTCCCCTCACCACCCCCCTGATCCGCGCATTTCTCGCCTTCTTTCCGCCCGTCTCCACTCATCCCCCCTTCCTTCCACTCTTGGCCCATCCCCCCTTCCTTCCACTTTCGGCCCATCCCACCTTCCTTCCACTCTTGGCCCATCCCCCCTTCCTTCTGCGCTTCTCCCCCCGTGCCCCCCCCCTTCCGCCCATCTGATCCCATCCCCCCCAGCCTCTCCCCCCTGTCCGCGCTGCCCTCAACCTTAACCACCCATGTTCCCCTCCCTCCCCCACCACCAACAGGAAGATCGGCAGCAACACCACCAACAGCACCAGCAGCACCAGCACCACTAACGCCGCCAACCCCCACACTGCCACCAGCACCAGCCATCCTTCTCCCACCCGCTCCCCCAACCCCATCCCTGAACCCCTCCTTCCCCCTCTCCACCTCTCTGAACCCCTGCCTCTCCCCCGCCGCGCCCCTAGGCCTGTCCCTCTGCCAAATCTCTCTCAACCGCACCAGCTCCCTCTCCTCGGCACTCCCATGGGAGAATCTGCACCTCTCCCCATCCAAGCACCCCGTGCCCACGTGAAAGTACTTGCAGGGGAAGCGCGCCAAGTCGTGGGAGAAGGGGCACTCATCCCCCTTAAGACACGAATTTGTTACATGGAATTTGCATGGCTCGTTCTTGGTCCGCGGAACGCCTGTGTGGGGGAACGGGCAGGACGAGCCCTTGCTGCAGCGGCCCCCCAAATAGAACTTGCAGGGCACGGACACGCGCGAGGGTCCCGCTTCCATGCGTCGCCTATGCCCCCCCCCTCCGCCTCCGCCTCCGCCTCCCCCTCCGCCTCTTCCCCTCCCGCGCCAGTCATCCCGCCCGCCCCTTCCGCCACCCCTGCCCCCTCGCCCGCGATACGCCCCCTCGTGCCGTCCACCCGTTTCGTCCTGCTCCCAGTCGTGCCTTCTTCTCTTCCCTGCCCATCCCTCCCCTCCGTCCTGCCCTCCGCCTTCCTCATCCCCACCCTCTCCCATTCCCCCACTCCTCTCCCCACCACCACCTGCCGTCTCTCCAATGCCTGCTCTTCGCCTTACTCTCCCTCCTTCACTTCCCCCTTCCCCCGCCCCAACCTCCTCTTCCTCCTCCTCCTCCTCCTCCTCCTCCTCCTCTCCCCCAAACCCTCCGCTCGCCAGCAGCGCCGACAACTGCCCCTTCTCCCCACGACCTCGCGTATCTCCCGTCTGCTCTGCCTTTTTTCCCCCTCTTCCAACCCCCTCCGCCCCTGTTCTCTCCTCCTCTTCCCCCTCCCCCGGTTTCTCCCCAGACCGTTCCCTCCCCTTGCCTACAACCCCAAACCCGCCTTCTGAACCATCCGCGGCCGCATCAGCAGCACTAGCAACGCTGCCGCTGCCGCCAGCACCAATCCCGCCTGCAGTGGCAGCTACAGCAGCATCAGCCATGCTACCAGCGCCGCCCGAACGCATAGCAGCAGCGGCAGCGGTAACTCCTGCCTTGCCGCCTTCGTGCGCCTTGCCCTTGTGGTGGTGCCGGCTCCGGTGGTGGTGCGCGTGGTGATGGGGATGATGGTGGGGGTGATGCGGATGATTGCCGTGGGAATGGGCATGGGCATGCGGATGGGCATGTGTATGAGCTCGAGGTTCGGAGTGCAGGTGCTGCTGGCGAGGATGGAGGGGCTGATGATGCTGATGATGGTGCTTGGCTCTCTTATACCCCAAGCCGTCAATCCCACCATCGTCGCCATAACCAGCAGGACCGCCATCAGCATCACCTTTACTGTCAGCAGCAGCATGAGCATCTGCATCGGCGTGAGCATCATGATCATTAGGATGTGACGTCATGGTCCACCCACGGGGCTTCACAGGGGACCCGCTCCCCGCGCCGATCCCTGCCATCTCACCAAGCGCGTCGGTCATCAGCCGCCCGTGTCCCCTCTGATGGTGCCCGTGCGACCCACGCCCGTGCGACCCACGACCGTGCGATCCACGACTGTGCGATCCACGCCCGTGCGACCCAAACCCGTGCGACCATCCTGCGACTGGATCACCTGCGAGACCGGCTGGATGGCCGGACGAGGCGGGAAAACTGGTCGAAGGTCGACTAGATCCGTGCGCGGGTGCATGCGCGGACGTGTGCCCGGCCCATAGCTTGGCAACTTCGCTGAACATCGCATCTTCATCCTCCTCCAAATCAACTCCTGGAACTGCGAGCACAGATCCAAAATCACTTTCCACTTTTTCGTGCCTGTCTGGCTTCGATCCCGCGTCTCTCGTTCTGTCTGCCTGATCCGGCCTTTCCTGATTCTTCGCGTTTCTAGGAGCAGGAGAGATCTGCGTTTCGTAATCCGATCCTTCTCTTATCGCGGATCTTTCAGCTGTCGGATCTTGCTGCTCTTTCGTGAGTAACACTGCGGAGTTGTCTAAATCGTTGCCACGTGGCAACGAGCTGGCTGAATTAGCGACATTCGGATCGTCTGGAGCGACAAACTCTCCTTCTTCGGATTCTGATTGGCCATCCTCTTTCATCTTGATTGGAGCCGCCAAACGCGGCGATCGGAAGCAATGCGGAATGATCGTCAGTGCTTGCCACAGTGTGGCGCATCGCACATGGTTGGATGCACTAAGCGCAACTGTGAGATGACTTCACAATTTACTAAAAATAACGGGAACTGCGGAATGCGAAACAGCGCATTCGAATCAGATCCGACCCGTGAGAGACCTCCCGAGCTATGGCTCCCAACGAAAGTGACACAATTAGATCGAAGACTATTACGGCGATCAATGATATGCACTGGTTTTTTCCTCACAACTGCAAAGTTTTGCTGCTAGAAACTCCAAGTTGTGGTGGTCTTGGGCTGATCAAACTCTCATTTGATGAAGTTCGTGGCCCTATCGTTGTTACTATATACCACAGTTGCAGCTTGGTGCAGGCAGGCAGATACAGTACGGTATTGCATTGCATTGCACACCACCCATCTCTTCTTCTCTTCTCATCTCCCTTTCATCTCAATACCCCTCCGCCATGTGCCGCCGCCGCCGAACGCGTGGAGGAGAAGCAATGTGGCTGGTTGTTGGCATCATATCACATCACAGGCCCATTGTATCCGTCCGTTGATGTATTTAGCAGTTTAATCGAACGGTTGTGACATGCTGAACCGAGAGATCCGCATCTGTTGATGACGCTCAACGGTCAAATAGTCTGGTTTCGTGGAAACTGGATAACGAACTCATAACGATAGCACGTACAGAACATATCAAAGTCGTTATGTAATGAGATCAACTGCTACTTTACAAAAAACCATAGATTCATTTTCTTCCAGCAAATATTACAGTATTTTTTTTATCCTATGGCTTGTGATGCTTTGAAAACGAGTTCTATTGAATCGTGAATCAATAACAATATTTTTTGCACACAATATAAATGTTTACAAAAATGACCTAAATGTTTTTTTTTTCCGATTTTTGTTAAGAATGGACCAAATAAAATATCATTATGGACTGTGATCAACGGTTGATAATTCCCAGCTTGTTTTTTCTATCTGCTAACAATTTCTCTCTAAGATTCTAGCTAAAGCTGTTATTTCATCTTATTACGATGAACACTCATCCCGCGCCTAGATGGAGCAGTCATGTTTGAACCTTGAAAAATGTCTTCCTTCTGACGCTGGTGCTTACTTGCCAGACCTACGATTCCAGGAAGAATACTGAAGCACGTTTGCGGAAAGCGCGCTTCGCTCAAGTGCTGGGAGTGTGTGCGCGGTCTAACATTTCGGTGTCTTCAGTTTCCTCAAAGATAAGCCTCAAAGTAGCCTCAAAGTCTCAAAGTCACAGAAAGATAAGCTTATCTCAAAGAAGCCTCAAAGTAGCCGTTATTACTCCGTAAAAGATAAGCTTTCAGATCTCTCAGCTTCGTCGTTTCGCGGTCTCCATTCACCAGTTCACAGAATACATTTGCCGTTTTTGTTACTTCCCAGCACAAATTTGTCCGTTGCCACCACCTCGTGTCTCTCAGAGTTCTTCTCTCCATTCGCCAGCCTGCTCTTTAGATTTGTCAGGGGGTTCGCACCTCGTGGTTCAGCCGCTATGCCGTCTGAGCCGTCCGTTTCTAGCCAGCCGTCAGATCGCAGCCGTTCGCCTGATCCCACTCATTCTGGCGGGGTGGGTCCCCACCGCTGCAACGATCGTCTGGAAGACGTCATCCAGGCACGACCTCCTCCTTATCAACCCGTTATTGATAACGTACCTTCGTTATTGTCCTTTCCTTTCCTTAGTAGCTCCTGGAGGACGTCATCCAGGCATGGCATCCTCCTTATCGACCCGGGATTGACATTATCCCTTCGTTATCGTCCCTCTTCTCGTTGCTGGAAGCAGCCATCCTGGCATGGCCTCATTCCTCTCTCCCCTCCTCGTCCCTCCTCTCCTCATCACACCGGCCCTCCTGGCCATTGATCAGGGTCTATTCGAGGGCAATTGGAGCTCTAACGTCAAGAAGCCTCTCCAGCTCTTCTTTCAGTGCATCCGCTCCAAACCAGGGTACGAGGGCACGGTGATGCTGCAGGGTATTGATTTCTAGCAACAATTTCGTATATTTCCATAGTATTCACGCTGTCAGCTGTTGCATGCTCAGATTTGCCTCACTTTCCCATCCTTGGTCTTCCATTGTCTTTATTCACACGGCTTGCCCCCAATGTCTCTTACACCCCTCCTCAAACATTCCCCCCATCCTGCTTCACATGAGAGCAGGTCCGAACCAACAGAGCCGTACACCTTTCTCAAGGCAACTCCCCCCAAGCCACATGCAAACCCCAGCTGCCAGCAATAGCGTGCCATACACCCCCACCTGCTCTCACTGGTCCGTTAGGGGGTCAACTAGGTCCATCAGGTCAACGGGGTCAACCAGGTCCATCAGGTCAACGGGGTCAACCAGGTGTCGTGCTGTTCAGCCCAGACCAGAGGCTGAATAGCACAGCAGATCAGGAGAGTCAACGGGGTCAACCAGGTCTGTCTGGTCAACGGGGTCAAGCAGGGCTGTCTGGTCAGAGGGGTCGACCAGGTCGATCAGGTCCGCCAGGTAAAACCCGGTTTGGAAGCTGAGGCAAGCCGTCTTGTGGTCTGTGGTGTGTGCTGTGCGCACTGAGCACTGCACACGTTCTCTGTTCACTGTGCACTGTGTGTGTGCACATGCAGTGGCAGCTGCACCTTGGTCTCAAACATGCCTTGGTCTGCCGAGGGGCTGCTACTGCTGCCCGGGCGGTTTGTCTGAGAGCAAATGGTGCCATAGCTGCTGGCAGTGGTGGGCATTCCTCCTTCGCTGCAGCTGCTGCTGTCTCTCATTCTGCACGCGGCACGCCTGTTTTCGTGCTGCTGACTGCATCTGCATGTGCCAGGTACTCACAACTTTCTCCAGGCTGCTCACACCTCTCAACCCGCTGCTGCTCACACCTCTCAACCCGCTGCTGCTTACGTATTCCAACCGGCTGCTGCTCCTCCGAAATGGCTTCAGCGTCTACACCAGTCAGCCAATCAGCCCCTCTTAGATTCAAAACCCAAACCTGCTCCGCCACTCCAACCTTCCACCCTGCCAACCGCACCACGCCAACACTTAACTCCTTACCTCGAACCACCTCCTGCTGCAGCAGCCACAGCCACAGCCGCATGAACTCTCTGTCTCCTAGGTTCACAGGGCTAGGGTTTAACAGCCCCATTGTGCCACCCCTGGCTGGGTGCTTGATTCCTTTACATCATGCTCGCTCGGGTGTGCTTTTGGAAAGGGCCGGAGCAAGTGGAGCAGCGGAAAGGGCACGGGGAGCTAGAGGCGCAGCTGTAGTGAGGGGAGCATCACAAGGTAGAGGGGCCGTTGCTGCAGCTGCGATGGCGGGAAGGCCTTTTCCTGTGCTGCTTGCCTGCAGCATGCAGGGAAGACAGGTGGAATCGAGCTGGAGTTGTAACTCTAGAAGGAATGGCACTGTGGCGTGGGCCTTGGGTCGAGGCAGGGCTGCTAAGAAGGAGGAGTTGTCTTGGGGGAATGCAGAAGAGGTGACTGTAGGGGACGTGAGTGCAGAAGAGGTGACTGTAGGGGACGTGAGAGCAGAAGCGACAGTTGCAGGTGTGAGTATAGGGGACGTGGGTACAGAGAAGACAGTTGATGGAGTGACTATTGGGAACGTGAGTGTGGAGCGGACAGTTGAGGAGGTGACAGTAGCGGATGTGAGCGAAGAGAGTAGCAGAAGTAGCTTAATTGAGGGCAGTCGAGCTTCAGAGTTGATCGCTTGGAAAGAGGAGGCACAGGCAGTGGTTCCTGGGCAGAAAGCATCGGAGTTGAGTGTTTGGAAAGAGAAGGGACGAGCAGTGATGGCAGGGCAAGGCGCATCAGAGGTGACTGTTTGGAAGGAGGAATCAAAAGCAGTGGTGGTTAGACGGAAAGATTCAGAGTTGAGTGTTTGGAAGGAGGAGGCACAAGCAGTGGTGGTTAGACGGAAAGATTCAGAGTTGAGTGTTTGGAAGGGGGGGGCACAAGCAGTGGCTGCTGGGCAGAAAGCTTCAGAGGTGGCTGTTTGGAAGGAGGAGGTAAAAGCAGTGGTTGTTGGGCAGAAAGCAGAGGTGACTGTTTGGAAGGAGGGGGCAAAAGCAGCGATCATAGAGCAGAGAGAATTGGAGGAGCCTCACGCAGCGGTGATAGAGCAGACAGGATTGGGAGAACACCAAGTGGCGGTGATAAAGCAGAGACCATTAGAGCTGATTGTTTGGGAAGAGGAGGCTCAAGCACTGGTGATCGATGATAGAGCATCGGACAAGCATCAGGCGGCGGTGGCGGAAGCGCCGATTGGTCCAGTCCAGCCTTTTGAATCGACTCAAACAACACATGCAGCAGAGGCAGCTACGGGGGCGTTTGAGAATTCTCAAAAGCCACCTGCATTGGACAAGCATCAGGCAGCAGTGGATGAAGCGATGAGTGGTCTGCACGACACCGACCCTGAAGAGGTTTTTCAGTGGACCCACGCACCAGCAAGTGCAGTCCAGCCTTTTGAATCGACTCAAACACCACGTGTGGCTGAGGCAGCTTTGGTGGCACAGCAGCAGGGCATTCATGATCCCTCTGAGCTGTCCCAAACATGGAAGGGGGAGCAGCAGCAGCCCTGGCAACCGCAGCAGAAGCAGCAGCAGCTGAAGAAGCAGCGGCAAGGGCAAGGAGAGCAGCAAGAGCAGAAGGGGGGAGCGGAGGCAACAGCAGATGCAACGGTGTTTGATATGAGTAAGCTCGTTCAGGCTGTGGCGTATGAAGCCGCTACAAATTTCTCGAATGCCCAAGGCGAGAGGAGCAGGTGAGGCCTCGCCCAGAGATGCTCTTTGAAAGATGCAGAGCATGAGAAGGAGAGTCAATTTCACAACAAGTCTGGATCAAGTTTCTATCACGGTCGAATCAAGCTTGCTTCGAGGTTGATTGAACCAAGCTTGAATCAGGTGTGCGTGTGAGTGAGTCAGGTCAAGCTTGGTGAAGTGAAGCTCCACACTTTCCCACCGGGATGAGTCAAGTGTGAGTCAAACTGGATTGCAGACACCATGTCCGCTGCTCTGCTCTCTTTCCATCCATCCCTCCTGCTCACCCTATTTGCTCCCTTTCCTAATAACCAATCAGCTTTCACCAGTACCTTGAGTCGGTGCACGAGAGGATGACACGTCAGCAGCTGAGTGCCTCGCTGGAAGTGCAGCAGGTGGTGGGATGGGCCGGAGTGAACTACGACATTCTGCCACGTGACGTGCGCAGGCAGCGCCTGGAACCGGTGAGATCTGCCTGCTGTTTGAATTTACATGTTATTATGCCATGAGATGACTTAATCTCACACTGCACCCTCAAGAGTGATCCACGACATTTTCTGTCAGCGAACAGCCGCTTACAGTTGTCGCAAATCCGCTGCCCGTTCTTCCCTCGCTCCCTTGCGCAATCTTGCAATGGCAGATCTCACGGGCTCTTGGGTACTCGGACACGCAGCACCTGCTGGAGCACTACTCAGCCGTTTATGAAGCGATGCAAGGATTGAAGAGTGAGGGGAATTTGAGGCATAGCAGAGAGAAGAGCATGAGCTTTGAGTTGACTCAAAACACGCAGCATCTGCTGGAGCACTACACGGCCGTTCATGAGGCGATGCGAGGATTGGAGAGTTGGGGGCATGGCGGTGGGGGAGAGGAGAGCGTGAGTTTTGAGTTGACTGAAAGCACACAGCATCTGTTGGAGCACCACAGGGCTGTTGATGAAGCGATGCGAGGATTGGAGAGTGAGGAGAGTTGGGAGCATAGCAGAGAGGAGAGCATGAGTTGTGAGTTGACTCAAAACACGCAGCATGTGCTGGAGCACCAGAGGGCCACTGTGGAGGCAGTGGGATGGGAGGGTGAGGAGATGGTGGGGCATAGCGGAGGCGAGAGCATGGAGCGTGCGAGGGAGGAGATGACGAACAAAGCAACAGGCGAATTCCTTTCCTCGCTGCTTCAAGCACCACTACCATCACCTTCCATGCCCATCCCATCCCCATCCCCATCCCCATCCCCATCCCCATCCCCATCCCCATCCCCATCCCCATCCCCATCCCCATCCCCATCCCCATCCCCATCCCCATCCCCATCCCCATCCCCATCCCCATCCCCATCCCCATCCCCATCCCCACAATCACCCCAGTGGCAGCACTCTCCTTCCTACTCTCTCCTTTCCCAAGCCCCACCACATCCAGCCCACACGTCTCCTCCCACGTCAGCTTCCAGCGCCAGGATAGAGGCTCGGCAAGCTGCGGCACGAGCCGCACCAATAGCATCCCCAGCAGCAGCAGCGTCACCAATAATACCAGCAGCATCAGCACCAGCACCGCCATCACCATCGCCAGCAGCACGACCATCAGGAGCAGCTGGGGAAGTGTGGCGCAGGCAAGCACACACAGCACGGCATGATGAGCCCAGAGGGGCGGTGTGGCGAGGAGGAGGTATGCAGAGTGACAGAGTGGGAGAGGACCGGAAGGGCCCTAGGGAATCAGAGTTGGGGGCATCAGGCGAAGCACACTCTTCAGTGCAGCAGCGGTTCGGTGCTGCTCATTCCAGTAAAAACACTGCTGTGGAGGAGCCGAACGGGAGTGAAACTGGAGCCAGCTTGCCTTTTGAGACTGGCCCCACTCAGTCCCGAACCTCCCATTCGTCAGAGCAGCAGTCAGCAGCAGGCACTCCGTTTGGTCCCTCTCACTCCAATGTGGAGCCACACCGGAGCCAAACAGGGGCCAAACCGCACTCCCCGCAGCGCTCCCAGTCAACTCCCACCTCCCTTTCCTCTTCGTCTGCTCCTGCTGCCGATCCTGCCCATTCTGCCCGTTCTAATTCTTCTGCTCCGTCTGCTGCTTCTGCTGCAGTGCGTTCGGAGTGGCATCTGCGTGCTGCTGCCATGCGTGCTGCTGCCGCTCTTGCCCGTGCTACCACACCCGCCAGCATCACTCCCCCCACCACGTCCGCCGCCTCTGCCACTCCTCCTCATCCGTCCTTTCACCCTCCAGTCCCGCCTTCCGCACCTCCTTCCTCTTCTGCCCCTGCGTCTCTCCCTTCTTCTTCTGCTCATCCCACGTCTCTTTCTAACCCTCCCAGTCCTCCCCTTTCCCACCCACAAGCACAAGCACCGTCTGCTCCCTCCTGGCCTGCAGACACACACAGCCCATGGTCCCCTTGGAATCTTCGTGGCAATGGCATTCAACAAGAAGCACCTCGATACTTCACTGGGAGGCAGGCCATAATCCAAGCCAGCAGTGTTTTTGAGTCGAGTGAAATAGAACAAGAAGCACCGCTGGTCTCCACCACCACTGTGAGGCAGGATGTAATTCGAGCCAGCAGTGTGGTGCAGGCAGCAGGCCACGTGTCAGCACAGCAGGTAGAGTGGTCGTCCTTGAGAGAGGGTCACAGGGTGGGTCGTCATTCCGAACCTGATTCCGCGGTTCATCCTGCCGTGGCTGCCCTGCTGGCTCGGTGGCGCCAGACACAGTTTGCCTCGGTCTGCTTCGAGGGCCGGCCGGAGCTGAAGCTGCCGAGCCTGGTTCGAGATGCGGTTGGAGCGGAGGCTCGGGAAGGAGGTCCAGGAGTTGTGGATGTGGTGCAGGGAGGAGAGGAGGGGATGGGAGAGGAAGGTGGAGGTTTGAGTGGTTTGAGGGAGTTTGCAGGGGTTGGTTTAGAGGACGCTGATTGGGTAGAAGGAGGGGAGGATAAAGAGGAGGTGGAGGAAGAGGAAGGAGAAGAGGAAGAAGGAGAGTTTACAGATTTGGATGTGGTATGCAGCGAGGAAGAGGAGGAAGAGGAGGAAGAGGAGGAGGAGGAAGAGGAGGAGGAGGAGGAGGAGGAGGAAGAGGCCAGAAGGGAGTGACGCATTGGGAGAAGAGGAAGAGGATGAGCAGAGTGATGTTGCGATGGCAGTTGTGGAAGCATGGGGGACAGACAGCATGGTTGCAGCCACTGGCAAGGCAAAGAGGGGACGACGAAAGAAGACAATAGAAGCCAGTGGAGGGAGGCAGGATGGAGCGGTGGCTTGGGATACCCCAGGCTCGAGTTCCGCCTCACATGTAGAGAATGCAGAAGAAGGGCCGGTCATGCCGTTGGAAGGGCTGGTCATGCCGTTAGGTAGTAGCACGGCAGACGTAGTGGTGGGTGGGGATGCAGCGGCGGTTGAAGATGCAGCAGATCATGCCGCAGCAGAGATCGCATGGCTGGACTCTACACTAGGGAGCGCAGACGGAGCAGCTGAAGCACCAGCCTCACGCGCAGGCACGGCAGCAGCAGCAGAGGAGCACGTGAGCTGGCTGGAAACCCCTCTGAGGAGCCTGGCTCGGCGGAGCGGGGGTGTGCTGACGCCTGGGCAGCGGGAGAAGCTGGAGAAGGCGGGGATGTGGACGGTGCGGCACCTGCTGGAGCACTACCCTCACTCATATCGGGATCTCACTCGTAGCAGAGAGGATGTGATGCGGGACGGGCAGGTGGCTGCTGTTGGTGTGGTGGAGAATGTCAGGTGAGCGGTTGGGATGGGTGGGGCAGTGGTTGGATGGTTGCAATGTGGTTGTGTAGAACTGAGACCAAGTGACAAGCCTGTTTGAGTATGAGTGTTTTGAGTCAACTCAAAGAGACCGAGTTTAAGAGAATCTTTAATGTGCTGTGCGGGACATGTTGATTGCTCTGTTTAAGAGGATCTTTGATGTGAGTCCTCTGGAGCCTTACCTTCCTTATGCATCCATCGTCATTCGCTGCATCACATGCATCCATCGTCATTCGCTGCATCACATGCATCCATCGTCATTCGCTGCATCACATGCATCCATCGCCATCCGCTGCATCACATGCATCCATCGTCATTCGCTGCATCACATGCATCCATCGTCATTCGCTGCATCACATGCATCCATCGTCATTCGCTGCATCACATGCATCCATCGTCATTCGCTGCATCACATGCATCCATCGTCATTCGCTGCATCACATGCATCCATCGTCATTCGCTGCATCACATGCATCCATCGTCATTCGCTGCATCACATGCATCCATCGTCATTCGCTGCATCACATGCATCCATCGTCATTCGCTGCATCACATGCATCCATCGCCATCCGCTGCATCACATGCATCCATCGTCATTCGCTGCATCACATGCATCCATCGTCATTCGCTGCATCACATGCATCCATCGTCATTCGCTGCATCACATGCATCCATCGTCATTCGCTGCATCACATGCATCCATCGTCATTCGCTGCATCACATGCATCCATCGTCATTCGCTGCATCACATGCATCCATCGTCATTCGCTGCATCACATGCATCCATCGTCATTCGCTGCATCACATGCATCCATCGTCATTCGCTGCATCACATGCATCCATCGTCATTCGCTGCATCACATGCATCCATCGTCATTCGCTGCATCACATGCATCCATCGTCATTCGCTGCATCACATGCATCCATCGTCATTCGCTGCATCACATGCATCCATCGTCATTCGCTGCATCACATGCATCCCTGGATGCATTGCCCCTCTCCGGCGTCTTTTCCATGTGTCTCTGTGTGCCCATCTGCACCTCCCCACTTTGCACCTCTCCACACCCATCTGCACCTCTCCACATCCATCCACTCCGCAGTGTAAACCCAGTCAGTGTTGGGTCGTGTGCGGTAGCCCTGCTCCGAATCCGCTGCAACCCACCTGACAGCGCCGCAACCACAGCCAGCGGACCCAGATTCAGCGTCCCTGGATCTACCAGCAGTAGTGGCAGCAGTGGCAACAGCGGTGGCGGGTTCGTGGTGACAGCAAAGCAGTTCCGCGCTGGAAGCTGGGGTCAGAAAGCTCTGTACTCCGCCTACCCCAGGGGCTGCCTCGTCTCTGTCACTGGCCAGGTGCGTGGTGGGTGGGGGGGCTTAACTGGCCAGGTGCGTCGTGGGTGGGGTGGGGCTTAACTGGCCAGGTGCGTCGTGGGTGGGGTGGGGCTTAACTGGCCAGGTGTGACCTGGTGCATGAGGGCACGGGGGCGTGGCGGTGGGGGCAGGTGGGTTCGTGGTGACAGCGAAGCAGTTCCGCGCGGGGGGCTGGGGTGGGAAATATCTTGACTCCGCCTGCCCTAAGGGCTGCCTCGTCTCTTTCACCAGCCATGTGCGACCTGGTTCCTGAGCTGGGGGCACGAGGGTAGGGGCAGGTGGGGGCAAGTGGGGGCACGAGGGTAGGGGAAGGTGGGGGAAGGTGGGGGCACGGGGTAGGGGCAGGTGGGGGCAGGTGGGGGCAGGTGGGGGCAGGTGGGGGCAGGTGGGTTCATGGTGACAGCGAAGCAGTTCCGCGCTGGGAGCTGGGGTCGGACAGCTCTTTACTTCGACTTCCCCAAGGCCAGCAGATGGCAGCAGAGGAGATGGTGGCCCTGTGCGGCTGTGCCTATTCCCAGCACCTATTCCCTCCTCAGGTGAGGGCTGTGCAGGGCGATGGGATGGGACGTTCGTGCTGGACACGAACAGCAAAAAGCAGGGAGCCTCATTTCTATCTGCTCCTCCTCATCCCCCCTCTCTTTTTTCCCTCCCTTCACCCCTCAAGTGAGGGCTGTGCAGGGCGACGGGACGTTTGAGCTGGACATGAATAGCGACATTGTGAGGGTGGATGCAGGTCGTAGCAGAGGGGAGGGAGGCCATGTGCCGTGTCAGAACCTACTATTGTGTCCGACAATTCTTACCCCTTGCCCTTGCGCCCTGCAGGTGAGGGTTGTGCAGGGCGATGGGACGTTTGAGCTGGACATGAATAGCGACATTGTGAAGGTGGATGGAGGTGGTAGCAGAGGGGAGGGCGCTGTGCCGGTGTATTCAGCCAGGAAGGACGTGGACCCTCTCTTGTTGCGCGTCATCCTAGAAAGGTGGGGCTGCTGCTGCTGGGTCTGCATGTAGCTTGTGTGAGCCAGTCGTGCATGCAGTGGGTGTGGGTGGGCGGGGGAGGGTGCTGTGCTGGGGTATTCAGCCAGGAAGGACGTGGACCCTCTCTCCCTGCACGTCATCCTGGAAAGGTGCGACTGGTCTAGCTGATCCATCGCATAGTGCTGCTGCTGGGCGTGCATGGGGAATGGCAGCAGAGGGGAGGGCGTTCTGCCGGTGTATTCAGCTACTACCAAGGACATGGACCCTCCCACCCTGCGCGCATCCTAGAAAGGTGCGGCGGAACTGGGTTTGGAGGGGGCGGGGAAGGGCGCTGTGGAAGTGTAACCGGCCAGCCAGCCACCTAAGGACATAGTGCCCCCCACCCTGCGTGTCATCCTGGAATGGTGGGCCTTTTTATCACAATAGCACTGCTGGTGGGTGTGCATGCAGTGGCTTTTGAGAATTCTCAAAAGCGATTCTCAATAGCGCTGCTGGTGGTGGTGGGTGTGCATGCAGTGGGTATAGGCGGGGGATGATGCGGTACTGGTGTGCTCAACCCCCCACTTACTCCCTTCCCCCCTCTTCCCCCTCCAACCACAGTCTAATCGAGCTCATCCCTCCAGACATGGACTATCATCCCCCCGCCCTCCGCACGCGCTACAACCTCCTCCCACTCCCCCGCGCCCTCACCACCATCCACTGCCCGCGTGATCGCTCTCTCGTTCCCCTGGCCCGGCGCCGCATTGTCTTTGTGAGATTCTTCTTCTACCAACCTCTATTGCCTTCCCCACTTACCCCCCCCCCACCCCCTCACTTCCCTCTCCCCCCCCCGAACCCCAGTCTAATCAAGCTCATCCCTCCAGATTTGGAATACCATCCCCCCGCCCTCCGTGCGCGCTACAACCTCCTCCCCCTCCCCCTCGCCCTCGCCACCATCCACTGCCCGTCCGACCGCTCTCTCGTTCCCCTCGCCCGGCGCCGCATCGTCTTTGACGAGTTCTTCTTCTACCAGCTCCGCATCCTGCTGCAGAGCCGGCGAATCAAACTCGGCCACCTGGCATCTGCAGCCGCAGCCGCAGCAGCAGCGGCCTCCGGAGGCGGAGAAGGGGCCATCAACTGGAACCGCAGAGATCTGACGGTTGACCAGTGGTCCCCACTCACACAAGAAATTCTTTCCAGCCTGCCCTACACGCTCACCGCCGGGCAGATGCAGGCTGCCCGGGAAATAATCTCCGACATGAACTGGCCGGTGCCCATGTCGAGGCTGCTGCAGGGGGATGTGGGGTGTGGGAAGACTGTAGTGGCGCTGTTGGCATGCATAGAGGCAGTGGCGCATGGGTATCAGGTAGCCGTGATGGCTCCCACTCAGTTCCTCGCCCAGCAGCACGTGGCACGGTTTGAGCAGTTGCTCCAAGCGCTGCCGCCCGCCCGCCGCCCGAAAGTTTGCCTGCTGACTGCGAGTGTGAAGCGCGCCAAGGCACTGCGGCTGGTGAGTGGGATTAGTTGGTGTTGGAAGGTAAACAGCTAACCAGGTAACGAGGTAGGTAATCAGGTAACTAGGTAACCAAGGCCTGGTGATTGCAACAGTGAAACGCTTCAAGGCACTGCAGCTGATCAGTGAATCGTCGTGAGAGACAATTTTTAGAATATCCTAACGCGATTTATAAGCTGTTGGGCGACCAGGGCCACAGGCCATGGCCTTGCACCGCCTCAACAGCTTTCCACACTCACCCTTCGATTTCCCCCCTCGCTTCAGTTCAGTTGCTCTGTGCACTCACCCTGCTTGTGTCCTGCTCACTCATACTCCAGTGCGCCTACTCTCTCTCTAACAGGACATCAAGGAGGGCAGGGTGGATATTATTATCGGCACGCATGCGCTCATTGCCAGAGCCACGGCTTTTCATCGCCTGGGGTTGGCCATCGTGGACGAGCAGCACCGCTTTGGGGTGAAGCAGCGAGCCAGGCTGCACGAGAAGGTGGGAGAGAGTGAGGGCGTTGGTTAGGGTGTTTGTATGTCTCTCTCTCTATCTCCTTCTGTTTGTCTGTCTGTCTGCCGGCCTGCCACCGCCTGGTGCTGGCCATTGGGGACGAGCAGCAAGCAGCGAGCCAAGCTGCATGAGAAGGTGGGAGGGCGTGGTGTGAGAGTCAGATAAATGGATTAGTATGTCAGATAAATGGATTAGTATGTCAGATAAATGGATTAGTATGTCAGATAAATGGATTAGTATGTCAGATAAATGGATTAGTATGTCAGATAAATGGATTAGTATGTCACTTGCTCCAACCTTGGACCTGTGCGTCTGCCTGCCTGCCTGCCTGCCTGCCTGCCTGCCTGCCTGCCTGCCTGCCTGCCTGCCTGCCTGCCTGCCTGCCTGCCTGCCTGCCTGCCTGCCTGCCTGCCTGCCTGCCTGCCTGCCTGCCTGCCTGCCTGACTGCCTGCCTGCCTGCCTGCCTGCCTGCCTGCCTGCCTGCCTGCCTGCCTGCCTGCCTGCCTGCCTGCCTGCCTGCCTGCCTGCCTGCCTGCCTGCCTGCCGGCCTGCCTGCCTGCCTGCTTGCCTGCCTGCCGGCCTACCTGCCTGCCTGCCTGCCGGCCTGCCTGCCTGCCCGCCTGACTGCCTTCCACCGCATGGGGCTGGCTGTTGTGGGCGAGCACCACCGCCGTGATGAGCACCACCGCCGTGATGAGCACCACCGCCGTGATGCACTTGGACAGCAGCGGGAAGCCAGCGACAGCAGCGATACACAAGGGCACTAATTTTTAGTACCTGTTTCCAAAGTCAGTAGCCTGGATGGACTCTGGAAACAGATCTTCCTTTTCCGCTCTCCCGCCGCTCTCGGGGCCTCACACGCTCACCATGACTGCCACCCCCCTCCCCCGCTCCCTCGCTCTCGTGCTTCACGGCCACACCCACCGATGCCCTTGCTGCCACACCTCACCCATCCCCCCATCCCATCTCTCCCACCCATCCCCCCATCCCATCTCTCCCACCCATCCCCCCATCCCATCTCTCCCACCCATCCCCCCATCCCATCTCTCCCACCCGTCCCCACATCCCATCTCTCCCACCCTTCCCCCCTCCCCTGCTGTGGTGACCCCTGCAGGGACTGGATGCTCTTCTCAGTATTCGGCAGCAGCAGGAAGCCAGCGACAGCAGCGACACAGAAGACTCTTCTGATTCCAGAAACGAAGCTTTCTCCCCCTCCTCCTCCTCCTCCGCCCTCCCGCTCCTCTCGGAGCCCCACACCCTCACCATGACTGCCACCCCCATCCCGCGCTCCCTCGCCCTCGTTCTGCACGGCCAAAGCGACATCTCACGGATCGCCGAGCTGCCGCCCGGACGCACGCCAGTGGAGACTCTTGTCTTTTATGACCGGGAGGGGAAAGGCGGCAGCAGCGGGGAGGAGAGTGAGGGAGAGGAGGATGAGGGGAAGGAGAGGGCTGCAGCTTACAAGGTTAATCAAGCGGGGGCAGGAGGGGGAAAGGACGGGGAAGGAGGGGGGCGGAGAGGGAGGGGGGGGCAAGTTGGTGGGGAGGAGGGGGTTTTGGTTTGAGCCATGTGCTTCTGACTTCCATGCAATTACAAGAAATCATGGCCTATTATTGCGTTTCCGTTGTCTCTGCCATCGCGGAGTAACTTCCTCAACTGTGCTGCATATTCTCTGCAACTGTGCTGCATATTCCTTGCAACTGTGCTGCATATTCTCTGCAACTGTGCTGCATATTCTCTGCAACTGTGCTGCATATTCCTTGCAACTGTGCTGCATATTCCTTGCAACTGTGCTGCATATTCTCTGCAACTGTGCTGCATATTCTCTGCAACTGTGCTGCATATTCTCTGCAACTGTGCTGCATATTCCTTGCAACTGTGCTGCATATTCCTTGCAACTGTGCTGCATATTCTCTGCAACTGTGCTGCATATTCTCTGCAACTGTGCTGCATATTCTCTGCAACTGTGCTGCATATTCTCTGCAACTGTGCTGCATATTCTCTGCAACTGTGCTGCATATTCTCTGCAACTGTGCTGCATATTCTCTGCAACTGTGCTGCATATTCCTTGCAACTGTGCTGCATATTCTCTGCAACTGTGCTGCATATTCTCTGCAACTGTGCTGCATATTCCTTGCAACTGTGCTGCATATTCTCTGCAACTGTGCTGCATATTCTCTGCAACTGTGCTGCATATTCTCTGCAACTGTGCTGCATATTCTCTGCAACTGTGCTGCATATTCCTTGCAACTGTGCTGCATATTCTCTGCAACTGTGCTGCATATTCTCTGCAACTGTGCTGCATATTCTCTGCAACTGTGCTGCATATTCTCTGCAACTGTGCTGCATATTCTCTGCAACTGTGCTGCATATTCTCTGCAACTGTGCTGCATATTCTCTGCAACTGTGCTGCATATTCTCTGCAACTGTGCTGCATATTCTCTGCAACTGTGCTGCATATTCTCTGCAACTGTGCTGCATATTCTCTGCAACTGTGCTGCATATTCTCTGCAACTGTGCTGCATATTCTCTGCAACTGTGCTGCATATTCTCTGCAACTGTGCTGCATATTCTCTGCAACTGTGCTGCATATTCTCTGCAACTGTGCTGCATATTCTCTGCAACTGTGCTGCATATTCTCTGCAACTGTGCTGCATATTCTCTGCAACTGTGCTGCATATTCTCTGCAACTGTGCTGCATATTCTCTGCAACTGTGCTGCATATTCTCTGCAACTGTGCTGCATATTCTCTGCAACTGTGCTGCATATTCTCTGCAACTGTGCTGCATATTCTCTGCAACTGTGCTGCATATTCTCTGCAACTGTGCTGCATATTCTCTGCAACTGTGCTGCATATTCTCTGCAACTGTGCTGCATATTCTCTGCAACTGTGCTGCATATTCTCTGCAACTGTGCTGCATATTCTCTGCAACTGTGCTGCATATTCTCTGCAACTGTGCTGCATATTCTCTGCAACTGTGCTGCATATTCTCTGCAACTGTGCTGCATATTCTCTGCAACTGTGCTGCATATTCTCTGCAACTGTGCTGCATATTCTCTGCAACTGTGCTGCATATTCTCTGCAACTGTGCTGCATATTCTCTGCAACTGTGCTGCATATTCTCTGCAACTGTGCTGCATATTCTCTGCAACTGTGCTGCATATTCTCTGCAACTGTGCTGCATATTCTCTGCAACTGTGCTGCATATTCTCTGCAACTGTGCTGCATATTCCTTGCAACTGTGCTGCATATTCCTTGCAACTGTGCTGCATATTCTCTGCAACTGTGCTGCATATTCTCTGCAACTGTGCTGCATATTCTCTGCAACTGTGCTGCATATTCTCTGCAACTGTGCTGCATATTCTCTGCAACTGTGCTGCATATTCTCTGCAACTGTGCTGCATATTCTCTGCAACTGTGCTGCATATTCTCTGCAACTGTGCTGCATATTCCTTGCAACTGTGCTGCATATTCCTTGCAACTGTGCTGCATATTCCTTGCAACTGTGCTGCATATTCTCTGCAACTGTGCTGCATATTCTCTGCAACTGTGCTGCATATTCTCTGCAACTGTGCTGCATATTCTCTGCAACTGTGCTGCATATTCTCTGCAACTGTGCTGCATATTCTCTGCAACTGTGCTGCATATTCTCTGCAACTGTGCTGCATATTCTCTGCAACTGTGCTGCATATTCTCTGCAACTGTGCTGCATATTCTCTGCAACTGTGCTGCATATTCTCTGCAACTGTGCTGCATATTCTCTGCAACTGTGCTGCATATTCTCTGCAACTGTGCTGCATATTCTCTGCAACTGTGCTGCATATTCTCTGCAACTGTGCTGCATATTCTCTGCAACTGTGCTGCATATTCTCTGCAACTGTGCTGCATATTCTCTGCAACTGTGCTGCATATTCTCTGCAACTGTGCTGCATATTCTCTGCAACTGTGCTGCATATTCTCTGCAACTGTGCTGCATATTCTCTGCAACTGTGCTGCATATTCTCTGCAACTGTGCTGCATATTCTCTGCAACTGTGCTGCATATTCTCTGCAACTGTGCTGCATATTCTCTGCAACTGTGCTGCATATTCTCTGCAACTGTGCTGCATATTCTCTGCAACTGTGCTGCATATTCTCTGCAACTGTGCTGCATATTCTCTGCAACTGTGCTGCATATTCCTTGCAACTGTGCTGCATATTCCTTGCAACTGTGCTGCATATTCTCTGCAACTGTGCTGCATATTCTCTGCAACTGTGCTGCATATTCTCTGCAACTGTGCTGCATATTCTCTGCAACTGTGCTGCATATTCTCTGCAACTGTGCTGCATATTCTCTGCAACTGTGCTGCATATTCTCTGCAACTGTGCTGCATATTCTCTGCAACTGTGCTGCATATTCTCTGCAACTGTGCTGCATATTCTCTGCAACTGTGCTGCATATTCTCTGCAACTGTGCTGCATATTCTCTGCAACTGTGCTGCATATTCTCTGCAACTGTGCTGCATATTCTCTGCAACTGTGCTGCATATTCTCTGCAACTGTGCTGCATATTCTCTGCAACTGTGCTGCATATTCCTTGCAACTGTGCTGCATATTCTCTGCAACTGTGCTGCATATTCTCTGCAACTGTGCTGCATATTCTCTGCAACTGTGCTGCATATTCCTTGCAACTGTGCTGCATATTCCTTGCAACTGTGCTGCATATTCCTTGCAACTGTGCTGCATATTCCTTGCAACTGTGCTGCATATTCCTTGCAACTGTGCTGCATATTCCTTGCAACTGTGCTGCATATTCCTTGCAACTGTGCTGCATATTCCTTGCAACTGTGCTGCATATTCCTTGCAACTGTGCTGCATATTCCTTGCAACTGTGCTGCATATTCCTTGCAACTGTGCTGCATATTCCTTGCAACTGTGCTGCATATTCCTTGCAACTGTGCTGCATATTCCTTGCAACTGTGCTGCATATTCCTTGCAACTGTGCTGCATATTCCTTGCAACTGTGCTGCATATTC